CCCCAAAACCCCAAAACCCCAAAACCCCGTGATTAAATATTCGTAGCATATTTTCAGAAAAAAAACAAATTTCGCAAGTTAATAGAAATTAATAATATCTGATTTAAATTTATTTATTTTCTTACGGGTATAGCTGATAGATATGAATAACTGATTTCGAATAAATCACAGTCATTCGTTTTAAAGCTATGATAAGCTCATATCATGGACTTCAATTTCTTCTTCAAAATTACTTTGACTTTCATCTCTCCTTGAAAAAATAGAATACTCCAAAAATTTATGGTCTAAAGATGTCTGCTATATCTCAGAGAGATTATCATGAGTTGAAGTTATTCTCAAATGACGGTGCTGCTGAATTTAATGATGATCATTGAGGTCATTTACGTTATGGCGGTCTTATCTTTAGTTGATCTGATTTTTATTATTTTCTTTTTCTAACTACCAATTTTCAAAACCTCTTTCAACCTATCCTTGTGATTGTCTAGGCTTTATTTGCAATTGCTAGTGTTGAAGCCTTTATCTTATTTCATTTGCTTATTCCTATTAAAACATCTCCTAGTTGGTCCTCTTATCATTGCCTTACTTACTTATAATTCTAAATCCTCTTTGGTTTTAATTATTCATTTGACTACATTTATTTTCATTCTTGGCTGAGTATTCAGATTCATCTTTCTAGCTGAATATATCCTTTCCAAGTGAGTGCTAATTTGATGACTTGACAGACTATGAGGCCTCTCTCTCTATCATATTTTATAATTTTGAAAGATCTAGTCTTAATCTCTCATCCTGAAAGCCATTTTGTTTAGATTTATCTTTGTGACTGTTCCTTATCGATCCTATATTGCTTGCACTAGCACTCAAAACAAAATCATTGCTTTCGAGTTTAAAAGGTTAGACCTTGTCATCAAGATGGTCATAAAGATAAGTTAGAAAACTGCTTTTCTCAGGATTTTAACCTTCTTAATGCTAATCGAAATTACTTCTTTGAGTTATCACCTATTGACTATTGACAAAGCTATTTGAGTTCTATTATTTCAAATACTACTATTACTATAGAGAGGCACGTGTCTTGATCTAGTGTATCTGATTTTAAATCTATTGCTAGTAAAGTTCTAACTTAAGCTCATAGCATTTACTCAAGTATTCTATTTTAGTTTAAAAATCAAGTATCTTTTGGTCGTAATTATATAGCTTTTTCTCTATATATTGATCGATTAAAGGCTCAATTGTTTTAATAACAGAAGCTGAAAGCATCTAAGTGTAGTCAAAGATCTATGAGGAAGCTTTCTTGTCTAAAGTGTTCTTCTATGAGGATTGATAGTAGTCGGAATTCATATAGGAACTTTCTTCTATGATACTATTCTAGGATAGCAGATTGACTAGTGATTGACTTGACTCATTCAAAGGGTTATTCTACCTTAGGTCTCTTGCCGAAAGTTTCTGCTCGAATCTGTGCTTTAGACTTTTAATTTGTTCAAAAAGCTCAGAGTTATCATGGTGAGGTATCTTTTCCTGATTGTGTCTGCTACTTCTCTATGATTTTGACTCATCCTGATGATGACGGTGATTTATTGGATTTTGATGATTTTACGGGTTTTTTATCTAAGTTTTCATGTTACTTTGTTTATTCTCACAATTAGACTAGGATTAGTCCACTTGCTAGACTTTCTTTGATGAAGAGGCAAATAACTTGTCCTTGCGGGCGCTGTATTCGTCTTGGATAGTAGACAAAGGTGCTAAATTGTGCAGAAACTCACTTGGCTATTCATGGTTGTCATAGAGACTAGTCTATGACTGATGAATAATACTATTCATGCTCTCTCTGTCGTGAATCATGTCAAATAATTTTAATATTTATATGTCTAAGTAATTTAATAAGTGTGAACTTGTTAAGATGCTAATAAAGTTATGTTATTTAACATGGCCTAAACTTATTAAATCATTCGAATAGAGCGAACACAAACATGAAGTAGAGTCCCAGAGCCATTGAGAATAAACATAGGATTAATGAAGGAATGCTGTTGACTTGCTTCAGCTCGCTTAGCAGGCCGTTAATAGCGAAGTATAAGAAACCTCCAGAAGTGAAGGCCAAGCACTGATTCATGTAGAATTAACCGATAACACTGCCAATGACTGTTCCAATCAAAGCACCGATTGCTGTAGTTAGTTGGAAGCCAAGAATCTTGCAAATGCCGAACTTAAGTTAGAATAAGACAGCAAAGTCACCGACCTCATGAGGAATCTCATGGAAAAACATAGCCATTGTAGTCACAACTCCCATTTTGTAGTCTATCGAATGGTTAAACACTATTTATATTCTTACTGGCGACATAAGCAACTCCAATAGAGAGTCCATCGGTGAAGTTATGTAGGAAGTCTCCAACCAGAGTCATTACTGCGTAAGAAGTGTACCTCTTTTCCTTCTAGATTTCTTCCAGAGACTTCTCTGCTTTTTTTGGCTTTTTCTCTTCTTTCTTTTCTTTTTTGCCTTCCTTCTTTCCTTTTTTATCACCCTTGGATTCCACCTTCTATTCTTCTTCATGAGAGTGTTTGTGACTGTGGTCATGACTGTGATTGTGAGCATCCCCTCCTACAACATTTTCAACTAGCTTCTCTATCAAGAAGAACGATATTATTCCTCCTATAATAATCAAGTTATTCATCATTTATGCTGGGTCGTGTGAGTGTCCATGTCCATGGCCATCATCATGACTATGAGCATGACTGTGAGACTAATTTCCACCAGAATTAAGATGAGGCAATGTATGGAAGAATACATCACCTAACAGTCCTCCAATAGCAAATGATATCAGATAGCAGATAACTGAGTCTCTTGATCTCGGTGAAGTTAAGAACATGATGTTCATTCCGTAAATGAAAAATATGGGCACTATTGAAATGAATAGAGTTGAAGCCAAGGCTTAAGCAATCTGTGGAAGGGGTCTGATGAGCTTATTGAAGATTAGGAAAGCTTTCTCAGCCTAGGTAAACTTAAGCAGTGTGTTAACCAATTAAACATGGATGTTCTCCTCTTAATGGGAATGGCTATGACCATGACTGTGGTCATGATGGTGATGGTCATCTAATCCTCTTCCAGCTTATTATTTGAGTTTTTATTCCTTTGCTTATTTAGCGAAAGGACATTCACCTTCTCCGTGACCGTGGTGATCGTGTCCGTGGTGATCATGTCCGTGATGATCGTGGTCATGATGATCGTGGTCATGATGATCGTGACCATGACTGTGATCGTGATCGTGGTGCTTATCATTGCATGAATGAGCTTTACAGTCGTGATTATGCTCGTGTGGCTCTTCGTGACTGTGCACGTGTTAATTTTCATGTTTATGATCATGCTCATCTTCATTCTATTTCTACTTCAATTCTAAATCTTTTAATTATTCATTTAGTAGTCTCTACCTCTCAGCAATATCTATTATAGTATTTAAGCCTCAATGCTTAATTCTTACCTTTTTGGAGCTTAGATAGATTTATATTATTTAGGTCTTCAGCAGCACCGATTTCCTTTAAATAGTCTACTTTTTTTGTTCCTTCTGGCTTATCCTTATTTTAGAACTTTTACTCATGATTCTTGATGGCCTCATGCTCTTCGTGGTGGTCATGATGATCATGTCCATGATGGTCATGATCATGGTGATCGTGATCATGGTTATGATTGTGGCCAGCGTGAGAAATAGTTCCAACTATTAAGAATGACACTACTGCCAGTGATATAATTCCCTATTTTACTCTCATTTCAAAATTTATATCTTTTATAATTATTGATTTTTTTAATTTGATTAATGAAGCAGTAATTTCCCAATTAAGGGGTTTTGGGGTTTTGGGGTTTTGGGG